ACTAGATGGCTGGAGGCAAGAGCAGAAGCTGGGAGCCCAGTAAGGAGGCTCCTATACTTGTCAGGCGAGAGATGAGTTTGGCCATGGAGGTGGTGGCTGCATAGGCATTGGCTGGAGAGCTGGTGGCCAGGGAGAAGGTAGAAAGTGGTCACTTGATATTGTGCATTTTTTGAAGGTGAAGTTGAAAGTATTTGCTGATGGTTTGGATGTGGATGTGAAAGAAAGAGGGAGTCCAGGCTGATTTGAAAGCTTTTTGGCCTGAGCAGCTGGAAGAATGGAGCTGTCCCAGCTGAGATGGGCAAAGCCAAGGCGTTGCTGGGGGGGGCTCCCAGGTTGGCCTCCTCTTTACCCAGTGGCTGGGGCTGCCCAACCATTATTTACCCGGGGCCCAGGCACCCCAAAACAAGGACTCTGCTGTAAGGGCAGAGGAAACCCAGAATTCCCCTCTCAATTCCTAATGAGGTGGCCTCTCTGGAGCCAGATAAAGATTGAGCTCTAGGCCCAAGACCTGGGCTCCCCGGCAGGGGCTGGGCAGGCCCAAGTGGGTGAGGAACGGCTGTCTGGCCTCTGTCTAAACAGGATATGCTCAGGCTGGCCAACGGCCATGGGTCACTTGGCAGCTAGCCAAGCTTGGGCCCACCCAACCCCCATGTTCCTCACCACACACACACACTCACACACACATGAATACACACATGGGATGAGGGACTGTGGAGTAACACATGAGGATCTCAGGGCCCTGTGTTCTTCTCTCTTGTTCACTCAGAACCCACATGAGAAGCAGTTGCTGATAGGTCTGTGTGGGGCCCAGCCAGGAGAATGCAGAGAGGCCTGGGTCCCAGACAGGATCTCTAAGAGTCTGGATGGGGATGCAGGACCTACAGGGCCCCAAGGAAACTCCTGACCCAGCCACTAGGGTTGGCTTCTTGGGAGGTAATGACTTCTCAGGGGCCTGAAGGATCTAGAAGAAAATAGGAAAGGCGTTCTAGGCACAGGGGAACAGTATGTGCAAAGACCCAGAGATGAAAGAGTAGCAGGCCCCTTGAAGAGGCCTGGGATGCCTGTGGGGCTCAAGTGTGGAAGGAGAGGATGACGCAGCCTCAAGAAGGGAGGCCGGCCCCTTGTGCAGAAAGGGACAGTGTTTGTGGGTGAAGAAGGTGGCTAAGGGCTCTGGTCCAGAGGAAGCACAGGGTTTACACTGGCGCTGAAGTCTGGGAAGAGCATTCCTAGTAGAGGGGACAACAGCAGAAAAGGCCTGGAGGCAGCTTTGGGCAGCAGCCAGGGAGGTGGGTCATTCCAGCTTTTGATGGGCTCTGAGCCAGCCCCTGGGGCAGGCTGGGCAGGAGAAGGCCGAGGCCAAGCGGGGGCTCGGGTGACTGCTCACTGCCTGCCCCCTCCTGGTGCTGCCTGAGCGCTGCCCTGAGCCCCGTCCCTGGCCCCTTTTTCCAACACTCCCCCTCTCTGAGATCCAGTTCCAGGCGAGTGGGGGCTGGGCCCAGAGCAGGCAGCGCCTGGGGCAGGGGAGATGAGAAAACCAGAAAGTGGGGAAACCTGAGCCAGCAATGCCTGGGCTGGGCGGGCCAGGGCTTGCTTAGCCTGCTAGGCCCGGGAAACAGGTTCCCCAGAGCCTGGGCCAGAGGAGGGAGTGCTGGTTTAGTCACCACCTTCATCCAGGTGGCGTGGCAGGTCTCTGAGGCCAGGCCTTCCAAGTCCAGCCGTCCAGATGCAGAGGGCGGAAGGGCAGAGTCTCTCTCAATGTTACCCAGTATGGCAGGCTTCACTCTTCCCACCCGAGGTAGGCCAGATAGAGGGAGACAGGGTAGACAGATAGAGGGTGGAGGGGCAGCAGGAGGCCCAGGGCTGCCCTCAGTCCCCCACAGCACAGCCTGGAAGAGCCAGAAGGAAAAGAAGCAGGCATGAGCACTGCCAGAAACAAAGGTTGGGCCAAGTTGAAGGGCTGGGGGTGGTCGGGGGAGAAGACTTGCAAAGCTCTCCTGCCTGCTGCAAGCACCATCACCTGTGGTGGGGGCTGGGACAAAGGCGGCCAATTCCTTCCCAATTGTAACTCCCACTGTTGGGCTCTGTGGCACTTCAGAAGCTCTGGGAGGCTGAGCCATGAGCCTAACGCTACACAGTCGGGATGTCATCCTGAGGGGCTATCTTGTAGGCACTCAGAGCCCATCTGGGAAGGGAGAGGGGGCTGCTCTGGGAGGAAAATGCCACCTTCTTCGGACACCACAGCCTGGTGGTTACAGGCCTCACCTCACTTCTCTCAGTCTCCTCTTCCTCATCTATACAATGGAGACAGCAGGGCCTGCTTTGCAGGAGGATTGTGAAGTGCCTGGGAGTGAATAATCATAAACCCTGCTGGCATGTAGGGCCTCCCAACCTGGCATCCAGGGCAGGCTTCAAGGGCTCTTTGGACCTCTGAAATTGAAGGCAAAATCATGGAAGTCTCTATAATATTCCTCCCAATAATACATATTTTATGTATATAATAACATATATACTGACACAAAATGCTCAGCCCGGGTGGACCCAGGGCAAGGGTGCAGGGTGGATTCACTGCTGCAGTGATCATCGTTTTCATTTATATTGATTATTCAGCCTTGTCAAATCCCTTAGAAGAGAATTGGCTACACTGTGTAGCCAGGCTCAGCTCTAGCTCTCTTCCCTCTCCCGTCCCCTTCCCCCACGCCCTCCTGCCACCGAAAGCCTCTATGTGCTGGGCCTATTCTGTGTGTCTGAGTGGTGCTCCATGGACAAATCATTTGAGTCTCTTTCCTTCCCAGCACAGCACCCTGGAGTCTTGGGCAAGTCCTAACAGTTGTGCTTTAGTGACCATGATGATCGTGCTGGGGATGGCCAGGCGCTGAGGAGACCAGGGAAGCTGGGGGTGGTGGTGGAAGGGATGGGTTTGGAAACCATAGTGATGGTGGCATAAGTTGTGTTGGTGATGGTGGAGCAGTGGTGGTGATCTCAGGGGTGACCCTGGTGCAAAGGAGTAGAGATGAGGAGGAATGATTGTCAGTGTTTTAACTGAGGCATGAAAGAAAAGAGAGGCACAGGCACTGTCGCTGCAGCCTCCACAGCTCCAGGCTGGTGTTTCCTCACTTTGTGGCCAGCCTCTACTTGGAGCATGTGGACTCCAAGTCTGGGCCAGGAGACCCTTAGTAGGATCCCTAACATCCCACCCCACCCTATATTTGCAGTCAACCAGTCAATGGGTCAGAGGGAAAGATGCCTTCTCCAGGGGGTCTTGTTAGCCATGAAGAGAAGAGGAAGGAAGAAGAGGAGAAGAGGACAGGAGTGGGGAGGAAGACAAGGAGGAGAGGAGGAAGAGGGGAGGGGGAGGAAGAAGGAAGAGAAAAGGCGCTGGCTCGGTGGCGTAGTGGTTAAGTGCCTGCGCTCCGCCACTGGCGGCCCGCAGCCAGAGCTTGGATCCCGGGTGCGCACCGATGCACCGCTTGTCAGGCCATGCTGTGGCGGCGTCCCATATAAAGTGGAGGAAGATGGGCACAGATGTTAGCCCAGGGCCAGTCTTCCTCAGCAAAAAG